AGCTGCCATGTCGATGCGTCCCGAACCCCGACTCACCTCCATTCTGGCGGTTTGTGGTCCACGATCTGCGTGGTGTGCGACTGTGTCATCCTCTTCTTGCCATTGGAGTTTGAATAGTGGCTTCAAGGCCTCTTGTTCCTCGCTATTTCGAAGAAGCTCTTCTAATTCATTCTCTACAAATAACTCATCGTCACGGACGTGCTCCGCAGACCCCCCACCTCGGCTGAGAGCCAGGAGCTGGAGACGAGAAAGAGAATGCTTCGAATCGTAAGACGAAGTACTGAGGAGATGCGTCGTAAATGGAATAGTTGGCGGTGTTAAGATAGATGAGGAAGTATCAGAATGCGTTGTCGAAGCGGCCGAGTCCTCGGATACGATAGGATTCGACAGAGTATGAGATTTTGCGGACAAAGGATTGAGCAGGAAATGGTATACATCCTCGATGCTATGATCATTTGTTTTTCGTTTCTTACGGGCCTGTTGATGACGAAGCTCAGGAAGCTCACTGATTGAAGACGTCTCCGAGAAAAATGCCTCCTCGTCCTTCTTGCCGTCTTCGTCTGCCGGATCCGCCTCAATTATGATACTGGGCCTTCCAAGAGCGGATATTTTCTTCGTCCATATCTCTTCTTGAAATTGAATGACATCTATGATCCCCTTCGCAACAATAGAGCGCTTCGGAACTTTCGACCGGGCAGAAGCACCGCGACCCTTTCCCTTATATATGAATTGATCGAGCCAAGGGACTTCCCGGATCCATTCCTCGATTAAATCATAGGATGCTTTGTAACGCGATGTAACTACACCACGCGCAAAGCCAAAGCGCGACGCGAGCGCATTAGCCAGTTCACTTAGGTGTGGCAGGGGGCTGCGTGTTTCCGCTTCAAGTGCGAGAATGAGCATCGCACAAGCGACAGGAGGGGTGGGAGACTGTAGTACGGGTATAGCGCAAGCCTCTCGGCTAATGATACCCGATAGGGACGTAGCAATACGCAATACCGCATGAGACGACAATGGTGTGAGGATGGAAACGAGATCTGAAGGTAGATGAGAAGTGGCAGACTCAGGATGCAATAAGGACTGAAGGTGAGACAGGAGGATAGGAAGATGGGCAACTGGGTCTGATGAACTTAGATCAAAATTCAGGAGAGATACCACGGCCACGAATGCGCGCGACAGAGACAACGGCGAGACATCAAGGAAAAAGGCAATGTCGCGGAGGGAATCCGACTTGTGTGCCTCACGTAGGGCAATAGCCATGGATGCACCGGCAGTTAGCTTTGCCTTGCGTCCCCACCTGTATTTGCCTTTTGTCATAGCTTGTGTGAAGATAGCTTCCGCACGTGGGGATAGACCGGGATTTTGCAACTTGGTCAGGACGGAAGTGATGAAAATGCTCATGGCGATCTGACATGGCGTGTGGTGAGTAAATGATTTCCAAGAAAAGAAAAGAAGAAATAAACTTACAGCGTTCCCTCTGTCACGCGCTTCCTTGTGCTGCCCAGCGAGATTCCATCCTTGCTTGTGAATATTTTTGAGGGGAGCCGCCGAGGAGGAAAGCCACGAGCTAGGTTGAAACTGGCGCCCGGAAGAGTCGTGGGATTCTGTATGAGAGGCAAGGACATACTGAGCAGAATTAGATAGTGTACCACAGTTTATGCAGATGGATGAGCAGACGTCGTCGTCCCAGACAAAAGTTCCCCCACAATCCGGGCAGGTCATGCATGTAAAAGTGTGATCTTGTGGGTCAAGACCCCGAAAACCCAGTGCTTATTTCAGGGATGATTAGATCAACTCCTTCAACTCCACTAGATGAAACGACATGTTCGTAAGGTTCAACGTTCAACCGCTCAAGACCCTCATAAACTCCTATTTCCTCTTTCAAACAGATCCAGTTTAGGTCGCGTTGTTCTTGCTTGGCACTCGGATGTGATCAGGGTCCTCTGCCTGACTTACTAGGCTACATACAGTGTGAGTTTCTTATGCTTGTGGGGCACAAAATCCTCAACCAAGATTAGTTCCACCAGCGCCAATCTGATTCTCGTTTCGCTTAAATAGTGCGCTACCCTTTCTACTAGCTTCAACCTCGTTTACCATGTCTCCTCCTTCTACTGACTTCGAATCCAAAGGCTCTAGTCATGCCAAGCGCAGGCTTTCTAGCGTTGACGCTGCAGGCAAACCTGCTTTCCATGCCTACTCCTCCCTCACTGTATGTTTGATCGATCATTCCCTTAGTGCATCATGCTGATGCTGATGGCGTGTTATAAGCCTATGTGGGCAGGTATCGCTGGCGCTCTTGTGAATGGTGGACAAGGCTTTGAGATCGCGATTTCTATACATGACTCCGTCTACAACACCGATTTCGCATCGGCCATCGTGCCTTACACCTCCAACGATCCCACTAAGTCCGCGTCTGACATTGCGAATCACGTTCTTCAGACCATCAAAAAGTTCTCTCAGGAGCACTTGTGCAAGTTCCTTGGCGCAGGTGTTACCCTTGGTCTCTTGAAAGAGGCGAGTATTCACTCTATCTCGTTTGTTATCGATGCTTACATATTCGTCCAGTGTCCCAATCTTTGCACTCATTTATGGCTTGAGGCTGATATTGTCCCGATCGTCTTCAATATCAAGCCATTCCACACTGATTCACTGACGCGCCCAAACATCAAGCATCGCATCTCCTCAACCACCGGTTCATATGTTCCCTCCGGTGCTGAGACCCCCACAGTCTATGTTGATCCTTCCCCACTTTTGGATCAGACCGGCAACCTCCAGTCAGGTGTCGCTACGAAACTTCCGATCCCGCGTACTCTTGATGAGCAAGCTGATTCTGCTGCCCGAAAATGTCTAATGTATTACGGCCCCAACAATAACCCTCGCCTCACCATCGGTCCCCGTAATCAAGTTACTGTCGATGCGGCCGGCAAGATCCATCTGATAGATGATCTTGACGTCTACAGGAAATCTGTTGGACCAGGTACTTGGAATGCTGTCAACAAACTCGCAGACGAATTGCGAGAGAAAAAAGTCAAGATCGGTTTCTTCTCTTCCACACCTCAAGGGGGTGAGTAACTTATCGTCAATTGACTTATATCGGATCATAATTTTGTGGCTTTTCCTGGCGCTTGTAGGTGGAGTAGCTTTGGTGCGTACTTTTCACGGGTCCCAGTATAGTTCTACTCACGCCCATGACAGATGCGACATGCTCTCATCAGGTTCCTTACTGCCCTGGATGTTGACGCTGCATGGTACGTAACATTCCCCGCATCCCCATGATTCTATTTCTCTTGTACCTGGATACTGACGCTTGGCGACGACTGCTAGGTATGTGCCGAACCCATCGCCGAGCGTATTCCGTACTACGAAAAACAACCACAACATCTTGCAAGGTGTTGCTGCCCCAGACCTTCGCCTCACCCAGGAGGCGAAAGATCAATTTGATGCATGGATTCTTAAAAACGGACTTAGATGGACTGCGGAGGGCGGGCCCCTGGCCCCTGGCGGCGTTGACATTGCTTTTATTGGTGAGCTCTTGGTCCTCTTCTCAGGTATCCACTGCTCATCGTTGTACATTGCAGATGACCCCCAGATGCCTGGTCTTATTCCGCTCATAAAAAAAGTCAGACCTGAGCTACCCATCATCTATCGATCGCACATTGAGATCCGCAGCGATCTCGTGCATGTGAAAGGATCTCCTCAGGAAGAAGTCTGGAAATACCTCTGGAACAACATTCAACTAGCAGATCTCTTCATCAGTCATCCAGTCAGCAAGTTCGTCCCTAGCGATGTTCCTATCGAGAAGCTCGCATTACTGGGTGCCGCTACTGACTGGTAAGCCAAGTTCAAGTTCATTACTTCATCCGTTGACGTGTTTGTTTGCCAGGCTCGATGGGTTGAACAAGCACCTCCACCCATGGGATAGCCAGTTCTACATGGGTGAATTCCGGAACCTCTGTGTGAAGGAGAAGATGAACGAGCTCCAATGGCCTCAGCGGGACTATGTCGTCCAAATTGCCCGCTTCGACCCAGCAAAGGGTATTCCGAATGTCATCGACTCGTATGCTCGCCTCCGCGTCATGCTCAAAGAGTCTGGAAGGGTTACCGAAGCGGAGGTGCCCCAGCTATTGATTTGTGGCCACGGTGCCGTCGATGACCCTGATGCCAGCATCATCTACGACCAAGTCATGAACCTCATCAACTCGCCTGACTACAAGGTGTATCAGTCGGACATCATTGTGATGAGGTTGCCCCCGAGTGACCAACGTGTGTAATCGTCGGTTCGAAGCTGCCCAGGGATTAATTTTCATTTTGCACAGTTCTCGACGCTCTGATGGCTAACGCCAAGATTGCCCTTCAGCTTTCTCTTCGTGAGGGCTTTGAGGTCAAAGTTTCCGAAGCCTTGCATGCTGGTATACCTATCGTGGCTTCCCGCACTGGTGGTATTCCTCTTCAAATTGTGCATGGCAAGTCGGGCTACCTCACAGAAGCTGGCGATAACAATGAGGTTGCCAAATACCTCTTTAACTTGTACACTGACGAGAAGTTGTACTCGGAGATGAGTGAGTACGCGCGTACACACGTCTCCGATGAAGTTGGCACTGTCGGAAACGCCGCCGCTTGGTTGTACCTCGCTGTCATGTACAATCGCGGTGTGAAGATCCAGCCTCATGGCGCTTGGCTCAACGACATGCTAAGAGAGGAGACTGGGGAGCCTTACGTTGAGGGCGAACCTAGACTGCCTCGTGGTGGGCTGAACATCCAAGGTTAAGGACACTGGAATAAATTTGGATTACTCGCTTGCTTTTACGAAATTGTGAATCATCTTGTACTTGTTTCTAGATGCTAGCTATTGTAGCTAGTAGATACTATGTATATCTCACAAACTGTAACATACCCTGTGTGTAGTTACTGCCGCAATTTGTTGAACTCTTATCGGTTGAACAATGTACAGAAAAGTACCAAGACGCTCGGTATTTGTAGTAGTAACTCCGAGTTGCCGACTCTGCTTAGCTCTGCTTTGTCTCTTGACCGATGCTGATTCTATAAATTTGGCGGATCTCGTTATTGTCTTTCTTTCTTATTCACGAACATTTTGTTGGCCGCGGCCCTTTGATTATTTGAATAGCTCCAAGATGATGGAAGTCGACACTCACTCGCCATCCACAAGGATGACACGTTCCTTCAGCTATTCACTGAAGAGGCCCCGCTCTCCTGGGTCCCCAAGCCAAGAACGCCAGCCGGTGGGTAACATCAACTGCTCACGAGATAGACCAGCTTACAAGTGGTTTGCTATATGAACAGAAACGTTCATCACTTGCTTTACAGGATACGTATCTGAGTCGACGAGCATCCTCCATTGTTTTTTCTGCCAATCAAAACTCGAGCAATCATCATCAACCAAGCCCAGATGATTGGGTGAGGCAAGCTAGCGACCTCTCTATTGGACGCCCAAGTAGTGTCGATTCTGTTCCTTCGCCAAGTGGCGATATACAGGATGAGAACATGGTAAGTGTCGTTTGAACTTCGTATTGCTCGTGAATGTGTTTCTTCAGTTATCCGATTGCTAAACTACATCCTAGGCACTCGACCCAGACGAACCTCCTAAGTCTTACTCATCGGTGCTTGTCTTTTCGCCACCACGGCTACTACAGCCATCTCGAGCACATCCTACAACCACGCAATTAAATGCATCACAATCGTGCATTAGCACTCCCCAGCACATATCTCAAATCATCGTGGGACATGCAGGCGGACAGCCATTAACACCAAGCATAACCATGGCATACCAACAACAGTCTTCCTCGGTATATGTGGAGCCCGGTATATCATCAGACGAATCGTCAAACCAGCAGGGACCGACTCAAAGCCACAACTTTTTTCAGACTACATTATCTGAAATGCCAATTCCACCACCACCTCCGATAAGCCAATCTCCAGGACCCAAGTTGACTTCAGGGAGAAAGCAGCGCTTTACGATGGGGCCACGTGCAGACTGCCTGAAGTGCAGAATGGGCGAAAAGGGGCACTGGATGCATTTCGACTAGACATTGGAGTAGTAACCTTGCTTAATTGTAGAACTATAATACTTTACAGGTGACGACTAACTTGTGCAGCCCACACTACCATTCAGGTTGTCTTGGTCCAGAATTTAGGTACTTACAGGACCCGGACGAGGGAGTTGCTCAAGAATAATAATGTTTTGCTTTGTTTGCCGAAGCCGTTGGAATTAAATATGTCACAACAACCTAATCTGTCACTTCAGTTTTTGGTTTTGGAAATTTTGGAATGGAATCCCTGTACGACGATGGCCACTACTCTTTCCCTATTCTGGAATTTATCATCAGCATCAAAAAAAGAACGTATCAGTGCAACAGTCAGGCTTGTTAATTCCCTTGAGAAGTTTCAGGAACAACACACTCCCAAGCCTGAGGTTTCGCCAGGCTCCGAGGATGATGAGGAAAACGTTGGTTCAACGGATGGCCTGGATGTCTTGAATGCGCATGATGTCGCGTACTCTATACGGCGGCTTATACGAGGGCTTGCAAGTCCTCGGGAAAGTAGTCGGCTCGGCTTCAGCGTTGCGCTCACCGAGGTATGAGTCTTCACTTTCGAGAGCTATATTGCGACTTCACATCTATTAGTTACTCTCTCGGCTGGACACTGTCACGTCTGCTCAAGTCATCTCAATCATCGTTGATGGATCGAAGATTCAGGGGTCTATGACTGGTCAAGAAGAACGCGATGTCCTATTTGCTCGCCTCTTCGGACTTGCTACTATCATTCACTCTGGGCTCCTTGTACGGCAGACCCCGCTGTCGACATCTCCTTCGTCTGCCACAAATTCGTCCAGTCTTGAAAGTTACAAGGAGCTTGTCAATCATCTTCTCGTTCTCGCTGAGAAGAAGTCCTGGCTACGAGAATGTACTTGGTGGACCATCGGGCAGGCTATCGATGCTGTTATAAAGTCTTCCGTTTCTTGGAAAGAGGAAGCTCTAGCTTCTACGCTCGAAGTTGTGTATGAGCGTGAAAAGAACATCTGGACACCAGAAACGGTCGCCATAACGTTAAAATTACAACCTGCGATGCCCAAGCATGACTGGAAAAAAACTCTAGCACCGACATTCAAAGATTCGGCCATTTTGGCTTCCGCTAACTTTTCGTCGCTTGGGCGCATATTGAAGGTTTGAAGTTACATGTTTAACGCAAGATGAAAATATTGACATTTCCCGTCTGCTCAGGAAACTCCTGGCGATGATGAGTGGCAACAGAGTAACACGGGGACATGGAAAGCTCAATTACATTATGTATGGAATATCATTTTCGACGGCTTTCTCCCTGAGAGCGAGCCAGAACGTCGCCGGAATGCATTGTTTCAAGAGTTCTTCCGAGTAGTTGTCGACGGTATGTTTTCCATCACAGTTTCGTGGATTTCAAATTGATACCCTATGCAGAGACATTGTTCGGGGCGTCATCTTCTCCTGAACGAAAGTTCTGGGGGTTCCTTGTCTTCAAAAAAGCTTTACGCCGTGTGGACGGTACCGATATCCCTATGCTTTTCACCAAAAATTTCATGCGGTCTTGGATCAATCATCTTTCTAACAAAGACCGCCACCTTCACAAAATTTCCCTGGATGTGGTGCGCCAGTCTTCGGTTTTCACTCATTCACTCATGGCTGATTCTTCATTAGGTCAAAGATATCCAAGACTTTGTCCAGCAGAATCCCCAGCTTGGTTACACATTGATTCTGCAGTTAACTGGGATTCATGGGAGTCAACAGTTTGATAAACTGACCAAAACGAAGACCGTAGAATCAATATTATCGAGGATGGACGGCGATGGTATTATGCAGTACATTCAAAGTCTACTCGAACAGATGGATGAATCTGACAAGTATGTGCAATCTAGTAGTCTCAGGCTTCTCATAACAAAACTATAGCGGCGCTGTTGCAGAAGAAGCTAAGAAAATTTGGATTGTAGACCAGTTCACGGCGCTCGTTCGCAACGGTGCCATCCCAAAACGTGAAGACTGGATTCAGCTCATTCTCAATTGGTTCGCTGTGCAAGGGTTATACTTGGTCAAGAGAAAGTCTGCCAAGGGGCTTCTTGCTGCGGTATGTATCGACTTTCCGACCTAAGAGACGATCAGAGTTGACACTGTTGCAGCTCCGTGTCACCCCCTCTAGTGTTCTTTCTGAGGATTTCCGGCGGATTTGTCGCGGTAAACTCCTTGGTTGCCTCGCTGATTTGACACCATCCACCGCATCGCAGAAAGGTCTGAGATGAGATTGGCAGTCACTTGATGATTCTGACTCAGTGTGGTTAGGTGACATGCCAAAGGAGGGAACAGTTGACGACGAATTTTGGATATCGAAGGTTTTCACTGTAGTCAATCATCTAGACAAGGACAGCAAGCACGTCACGTCTTTATCGGAACCAAGTCAGGAGGAGCAACTGCTACTTCAACAAGCTTATAAGACAATAGAACATCTTAGGCAGGTTCGTTGCTCCCAACTTATGTTTTATTATATTTATTTGCTTCAAATCAGGTTGATGGTAAGATGAGAGAGGCAGCTAGAGGAGTGGAGCTTCTCCTGTCAGCCTCTCTACTTCAACGTCGCTGCGCCAACTTAGATGATGACGAGCTTGATGCAGGGATACTCGAGGCGAGTGTTTCTTTCACAGTGTACAGAATTAATCTGATAGTTGTCATGATTCAGACTTGCATTGCTGCTGCCGCAACTATGTTTTCTACTGACAACAAGTCCAAAAATCGCAGGAAATCGCACACCATTTCACAACCAGACTCCGACTCTCCCAAACCGATAGACATGCTGGTTGATGTGCTCATTGGTTTTCTCGAGAAGTCCACGTCTTACCTCCGTGCGATGGCCAACAAGTCCTTCTCATGTATCGCTAGCGCAGCCACAGAAACTACAATAGATCTTATCGTTGCCGTCAGTGATAATTGTTTACTTATCGGTTCCACATCATTTGACTTTGTTTTGTGTGCAGCAATTGGAGCGCCGTAACCCAGCCGATCTGGTTGCTGATGAAGAAGACGAGACAGAGAGCGCAACAAGTGAAGAGGAAGATGATGATGATGCTGAAAGTTCCGACGAAGATAACGAGTCTGATCTCGATGACAACGAGGCTGCTCTCGAACTGCGGATGAAAATTGAGGACGCACTCAAAGCAAACGGCGCCGAGGCTGCCATCGGGGATACCGATGAGGAGTCTGAGGAAGAACCAGTAGACGACGAACAAATGATGGCCATTGATGAACACCTCGCAGAAGTCTTCCGCTCTAGATCTGGTGACAGCAAACAAAGTAAAAGTATGGTCAATCATCATCGACGATCGCATAAGCTTAGACTCCCACAGATGTCAATGCACAGCGAGAAGCTACTCATTTCAAGAATAGAGTCTTGGACTTGGTCGACATTTTTACGAGGAGGATGCCTCAGAGTCCTCATAACCTGCGTCTAGTGTTGCCGTTGATCGAACTTGCTACTAAGAGCGGCAATGACGAGCGCCAGCTATCTGACAAAGCTCGTGGCATCCTCAACAACAGGCTCGCAAAGCTCAAAGACCCACTCCAGGAAGTGGATCAAGATTACGCAGAGACTATACTGGATGAGCTGCATATCAGAGCTCGTAAGGCGCACTCATCGGATGCGCTCGCGACTCTCAGTCACTGCAGTCTTTTCATTTGCAGAGTATTAACGAACGTTGGCTGTGAGAAAACTGTTCTTCGGCTGTACAAGGAGTCGCTGGCAGATTTCATGACCCGCAAGGCTTCCTCGTTGAACATTACATTTTTCAAAGATTTCGTCACTCGTTATCCGGCATTAGGGTGGCGCCTCCGTGATGACGTACTGGACACGTCTCCAAAAGCCATCAATGCCTATAGGAAATGCCAGGCTTTCCAGCTGCTCAACACAATTCTTACTCTGTCGACCTCGGCGGTGAGAGCCTTCTCCATTGTCACATTTGGAATAGCCTGATGAACCTACTACGATTATTAGGGTGACTCACAAGATGTTTTATCTTTCATTCTGAAACTCCACACAAGTGTTCTTCACTTTATCGATTCAGCATGCGACGATCAAGTCTCTCTCTCCGCCGCACAAATCAAAGACCTTTTCAAATTAGTGATGCTTGGCGTTCGTCAGGCAAGCAAGCTCGATAACAGTAATCAAAACGTGTGGGACTCAGAGGCTTGGCGCACCCTGCATGGACGACTTGTCGCTTCGAAGCGGTTCGGTTCGTCGATAGCTATTCTCAAGCTGTGCTCTCAAGTGGAATCGGCCCTACAAGCCCAACACAACAAACAACACAATTCGATAGCATCAAAAAGGAAGGCAGAGGAAGTAGAAGGTGAAGGTGTTCCATCCGATGCTAAGCGGAAGAAAAAGAAAAGTGTCCCCACTAGTCAATCGTAAACTGCCGTACTGTAGTTCGGAGTTCTTCCAGTCTCATTGCATCTTGCGTTGAAAGCGCACGAGCAATGGCACCCATAAGTTTGCGTGTCCTGTAAAAGTGTCAAGCTGAAAGGAGGCGGATGACAAGCATATACCGACCTGGAGCGTCGTGTGCGCTGTTCAGTGACGGTCTTGCAAAGTTCAGACCGTTCTGATGCAATACGAAGGATATCGTCCGGAAGGCCTGCAAGGCGACCACACTCGACTCCAAACGACTCCAAAGCAATGCCAGGGGTAAGTTCATACAAAAATGTCACATCCCGAGTTCCATTTACTCGGATGTCCGTTGTATAGTTCATGTGCAAATTTTGCACTTCCTCGGGGAATTTTCTTTCCAAGTCTGTGGCTACTAGCGGATAATGCGTGATGAACAATGTCTTGCATTTCACGCGTTCCACTAGATGATGAAGAACAGCATCCGCAATGGCCATCTGCATGAATGCTGTCATACGAAAATCTGGTGAAATCAAAATTGTGAACCCACCCCATCAGCAGTGGATGTACCCCTTCCTAACTCGTCAAGAATTACTAGACTTTTGTGAGTCGCCCTTTGTAGGATGTCACTCGTCTGTGCCATCTCTACCATGAAAGTTGACCGTCCGCGAGCGAGTTCATCGGACGCTTCACGAGCATCGAAGTCAGCGACGGTGAAAACCAGAAAACAATCGACGCACCTCCCATCCTGCTAAAAACCCCATCCAACAGGCCGAGCCTAACGGCTTTCGCAGGTACGT